CACTACAGGATATCGAAATTTGTATAAAATATAAGACTCAAGCTCGTCTTCTGTATTTCAATAGTTAAAGAACAGATACTGTTAAATTGTTCCACACATATTACTCCCATAAAGAAATTGCCTGTCCACAAGCAAGAACTATATGTCGATTCTGTTAGAAAAATGAGGAAAAGGTAGAATATTAGTTGAAGGATCTGTGAAAGTGTTTTCATCCTAGACCTAAACAAAAAAATTAGGCAAATCAAATTCTTGCAGTAAGTCAGAATCAAGGAAGTCTTGATTAACGAAATTTTATAAATGATATTCTGATTAATCACATATATCAGAAACACCCCCTCTAGATTGCTCACAAACAGTGTCTACCTCAATTTCAGAATCCTCCCAAATATATTAAGGTAACGTTTCAGAGACATGCTATGTTTTTGAAATACCACCTGGTGCACTCTTCATCTCCTAAGTTACATCAGAGAGGTTTTCATGAACTCTGAGTGGACCACAATATATATAAGCTATTCGATGACGAGGAACCCACTTTGAGATTAATAATGGCTGGAGACGGCTTGAATGGGTAATGAAGAAAAACTTTAATATAAGTTTAACATAACAGCAAATGTACAGCGTTTCGACAAGGTTTTGTCATCATCAGGTACCTCCCACTAGTGTGTCAATCCCACTATTCGTTGGTAAAAGAGTAGCCCAAGAGTTGGCGATGGGTGGTGATGACTAGCTGCCTTCCCTCTAGTCTTACACTGCTAAATTATGGGCGGCTAGCGCAGATAGCCCTCGTGTAGCTTTGCGCGAAATTCAAAAACAAACAAACAAACACAGAAAACATAGTTCGCGATGTTGTCAGATAGACAGTTGCCTTTTTAATTGGAAAATTATATAATGGCTAGGACTGCCTTGCCCTTGCACTCGGGTTGCATTGGGGGAAGGTAGCATGTGCAAAGTGTAGGCGTGCTCAAGCCTGGCTTAGTTGATGTTTTTATATATTATTCATAAAGCTAGGTTTGCCCTTACAATACTAACTTTTAGAGATTTTGTAACTTTGTATGAACTTTAACTTTGTCTTTAACATTAATGTTTGCTATTTTGTTTTAGAGTAGCATTGAACTGTTAGAAACACTAACTTTTGAGGGAGTTGGAGTTTGCTTTTTACCTAACTTATAGTTTAAACAGGTGGAATATTTTTTCTGATTTGAACCTAACTTTGGGGCTTATTTGGAATTTTACTTTGCCCATTTAACTTTAGTTTTTGTGTAACTTACAAGGGAGAGGACACTGAACTGAAATGAGAAACCATTAAAGGTGTCTTCACTCTTCTCTTGGCATTTCAACGGATTTACAATAAACACTTTTCCTTGTATTTCGGTTTTGTCTTTGTGATAATAAAGATTTTGAGATGTGAATTTGTGTACCGTCTCTTTTTGCACGACAAATTTAGTCAGAGTTTGAAAAAACAAACAAACAAACAAAAAAAAACAGCACACACGTCGCAAATCGATATTCTCTGATCTCCGAGTTAGCACAAATTGTTTTTGTTTTTTTGCAGTAACTGAGTAAAGCCTTGGATCCATTCTGTCCAGTACGCTCGGACTCTTACGAACTCAGTTTCTCTGTTAAATTCATCGGTATACCATGTCGAACAAGTACCACATAAACTAGTAGTTATGCAACATTTATAGCTGTATCTTCCCTGACAGGAAACACTTCCATCTCTTTAACAATTAGTAATGATGAATCCCATGGTGTTCCTCCTAGAACTATGTTAACCCCCCTCCCCCATAAACCATTATTATTTTTGGAAGGTTCTTTACCTTTATCATCACGTTCGAAAACTTTAAATGGCTGGTCCAGTAATTGGTCTCATCCCAAAATGCATTGAAAATAACACTCTAAAGGTGAACAAAATTTCTTTAACATATAAAACCGAAGATGGATTTCTGTATGTCATTAGTCAGATAAGTCTGGCTAAACTGGATATCACAATGTAAATGTCTGCTTGACGTAGAAACTGAAACTCCTGCCGCACACTCCGGCGCACTTCCTTCGACAACACTTCCAATCAACGTGGGAAATAAATATTCTGCTAATCTTCAGCATGTTTAATTTTGTTTGTTTGTTATGAAATTCACGCAAAGCTACACGAGGTCTATCTGCGCTAGCCGTCCCTAATTTAGCAGTGTAAGACTAGAGGGAAGTCAGCTGGTCATCATCACCCACCGCCAACTCTTGGGCTACTCTTTTACCAACGAATAGTGGGATTGACCGTCACATTATAACGCCCCCACAGCTGAAATAGCGAGCATGTTTGGTGGGACGAGGATTCGAACCCGCGACCCTCAGATTGCAAGTCGAGCGCCATAACCACCTGGCCATGCCGGGCCTTAATTTTATGGAATACATAGCAAAATCATTATTTATTTTCTTTTAAGAAAACGTACTAAATCAAACTGATCTCTTCGGAGATTAATTTGGTTTTGAAAATATCAGTGTATCACACTCTATGTCATCATTTAATTAAAGTAAAATTACCAATCACAAAGTATGTGTGTGGGGAAGAGTGGGGAGGAGGTGTTAAGTGTAAAACTACTCAATGAGTTATTTGTCCTCTACCCACCATAGGTATTGAAACCTATTTATTGACGTCGTAATCCTGCAGACTTACCGCTAAGCCGCTAGTATAGTGGGATTTTGGTTTTAGTACCTCTACTGCCGAAGGTGTTACTTTAATTATAAACCATCGACAGGGAAAGGATATTTTGGGTTGATTTTCCATGATGTCATTTACAGCATTGCGTTTGCGCACGTTCAGATTCTCGTAGACGTGTGTGGAAGTTATATATATATATTCTTTCTACATCGTGTAGCCAAGTTTGGTAGTCGAGAAGTGATTTTTTCCGTGTGATTGTCTCAGGCTACATTATTTCCAGTTTCTACTAACAGTGTTTATTTAATCATTCATCATTCCGTCATTAATAAGAGCTAGAATCAACGGGTGGGGAGCTTCTCGTCAGGTGAATTGTTTATGTAAATCAAACAAAACCAGTGTACTTAAATGTAATGACTGTGAGGGTAAGTGTAACTGTGTTGTGTAACGGTACCAGTACTGGCAGTAGAGCTACCCATCCACATTAATTAAAGATGAGATAAAAATTTTGGTAATCCAAGTGCAGTACTCTGTACTTCTCTAATTAAAGGATATATGCAATATATTTGTCCAACATTCCAATTCATCCAGCTTCTAAGTCTATAATATTTCAACATTCTCAATGCAGAAAAAAAAATACAAAAAGTTTAATGTTATTAGCCAAATTTACAAATTATGCCCTTATCAATGATATTGTTTTTAATATAAACAAGAAAAAGCAAAGGTCCAAGCAGTGACTTGGAAGCACTACACTAGTAACAAGGGCCCAGGATGACTGGATTTTGTTAATCACAGCCTTTTTGCTTTGCTTTCTCCCATTCAACTGCTCTACAACTTACAAGTACCAATTATATTTCATTTAGTTAGTTTCCCTAACCCATACTGATATGATTTTCTTAGCTAATGTTTTGTGGAATATACTTTCCTAAGCTTTTTGAAATTCTGTGTATCCTAAGTCCACACCATCTCTCTCCCACCCCCCAAATATATATATATATATATATGTATTACTTGTAGTTTTAGTTAGCCTAACAATATCTTAGAATGTAATATACTGTGCATCTAGCAGCTTCCTGTAAAGCTACCAGCAGTACTGTTAATTTTATACCAGAATAGATTATTGAAGTGAATTGCCTTCCCATGGTGCACACTTATGTCAACTACAAATAATTTTATAATATATTATTACTATTAGCTTTAATTATAAATAGTTTTTATATGCAAGTAATGATACAGATGTTTATATTTATCATGTTGTATTCCTGAGAGTCTAATTGTAATGTTAGATGAGATTATTGATAGTAAGTTGTAGTACTACTGCTAGTAAACTAGCAAGTAGGTGATATTATAATTATACTAAGAAACATCAATAAAGAATTAAGTGTAAGTACAATTATGGTAAATAATGCCATCAGTCAAGATTGAAAGCAGTGTAAGTTGTAAATTGCAACAAGAAGTAGCCTAACAGGTAGGTGAATGATAAAAGTAAAACCTCGGGGAGCCTAATTATTAGAATGTACAGGAAAGTTACAAAATTTGTATATAGTGTTTCTTATAGTGTCTGATTAAAGCAATGTGTGGCATTTCAGGAAAGCTTTTGAACTGTATAAACAGTCCTCTTGTAGCTCAATGACTAGCCAGCAAAGCTCTCACATCAAGGATCTGGCTTAGAATTGTGGTTGAGAGGTGGATAGCCTATTAATTATGGAGTTTTGCACTAAGTTGAAAATTATGAAAACAAAATGTAAATAAGTAGCATAAATATATTTTATTTAACATGTGCATTTCTTGAATTACAAAAATTAGACAAAACATAATGCCAAAATGTGCCAATTATATATTACTGTACTACAATTATGATGTATTCTTTTAACATACTCAATTTCAGCATGAATGATATATACTCTGGCAGACCATATGGTCTTAGAGAGTGATTTCAGTATGAGACTTTTGCCTTTCAGAGGTTAAAAAATGGTATTACTTATCATTGAAAAACTAAGATGGCATTATCATAAGATTTTTCAGTATGAGTTCTGAAAAGTTAAGAGGGTGAGTAGAACCGGGAACAAATTCAAGTACTGGGTTACTATTGTAATCTGTGCTTGTAGGCCAGTGTATTTCCTTCCTAGCCTTGTTGCTGGCAGTGTTAGAAGTATGGCAAAGATATCCAACAGTAGAAACTTCAAATTCATGTAATGTTTTAATAGTGTATCTGTGAGGTTTCCAGCTTCATGTCCTTGTAATGGTATAAATTTCAAAAAAAAATTTTCTTTTAATTTACTTATATCAACATGTTACACTATATATGTTAGCTGTTGTATTTGTGAAACATTTGTATGGAATCCACAATAATTTAAAAGTACTTTTCTGTCTTTACCTTTGTTACAATCACTGGCAAAAACTTTTGTCCTATTAATCAGATGAATTTGTTTCGTATTTTGAGTGATAAACATGAAGGTGTTTCAGTGCTACTATAGCTTGCGGTCTACAAAGATATTTACACTATAGCGTGCAGTCTACACAGATATTATCATCATCACCTTTTTAATGATTCACTAAAACATAATGTCTTGCTAAATAATATATATCTATCCACGTTTTTGTTCGGCAAATAATAATAATTTAATTAGTTGTGTGTTCCAAAAGAGTATCTTAAATTTAGGTTATAATTGTGCTAGTTTTGTTTGTTGGAATTTGTTTCATTCCGATTATGTTTGCCCCCAAAATGTTATGTAATGGTATTTTATACTTTATTAGTTTAAAAAAGGTTTTTTTTATAATAAATGGTGACAATTGCAAATAAACAAAAGTTAAAATGATGATGATTAATGTATCTGTGTAGACTGTACATTATAGTAGCATCAGTGTTTCTTTACCCATATCTTTAAATCTGCTTATATGCTTAACTGGTTTAAGTAGTAATGTTCAGCTGCTTAGGTAAATTACACAATTTAACTTATGAATAAGAGAATTAAGAATCACTCGCACAACTTATCTTCAGAATAGGAGAATTAAGAATTGCATGACATGGTAATTTTCAGAATATGTAAGTTGTGGAGTACACTTAAATAGGTGTAGAATTTTTCAATCAATAGAATTGGATCTCCAGTAAGTGTTGCTTTTGTGATATACTGAAGGTTGGACACAAATTCTAATGATGAATCTAAAATTACATATATTGTTCTAACTTGCAAAAATTAAGTAACACCAATGAAACAACTTACAGTGGGCTTCTGTTGTACTAAATAGAACAAATTACTCTTGACCACGAATAATCTTAAAAAAAAAGTAAGGTTTTTGTCATAGTACCCCAAAGACCAGTATTGTAGATTTAAATTTTTCAGTGAAACCAGAAGCACTGCTCATTATATTGATTTTAAATTATAACAAAAGAGAAAAGGTCAAGGTAATGAATTATTAATCAAAACTATCCTACTGTTTCCTTTCAAGATTTTAATACTTATTTAAATACATGCTCATTAGGATGAACCATAATGATCATAGCGTATGTGGGAGTGCAAGGCTTGTGGCATGCAAAAAAAAATGTTTGCATATAGAGGGCAGCACTAAACAATAAGTATCTATCAAAAATACATACATAGTGTTGTAAAATGTTAACTTCATATACAATACCTTACCTCCATTCACATATTAACTAGAATGAAGTGGTGGAGGGATCTGTGCAAAAGTTACCTAGATGATCCCCCTTTGGAAAACATTAGAAGACAACCAATGGAGTGTAACACCCTATATCATGAAAGTATAGGGGCACACCCATGGGAGATAACATTCCTTCTGTACAAGGGTATACTCTTTGCCCATACTGAAGAAAATGAATTGCCAAGTTGGGTGAAAAAGAAGCAAGTCCAGAAACACAGTATGGAAACTGGACATGCTGTAAGGGCACATTAGACCATATGTGATGGGTGAGCTCCAGTCCAAAACCAGAAGCATTAGGAATGTTTCATCCATTCCGCAGTAGGAGGAGAATCTCAACCATCTTCATTTCTATATCAGGAAGTAGTATAAAAGTTATAATTTTCCTATACATCCCCGCACATATATAGCTAATACCTCTTCTCATGTTTCCCACCTGTCCTTCCCACTTCTGGTGTATCTTTTCTTGCCCAATTTCAAAGTGATGTTTGAACAATCAGTATAGTGGAAGACAACTGTGCTAGGAAGGTGTGTTGCACTTCTATTGGTGGAGGGTTGTTGCATGTTCACTTGCATACTACAGCTGAGAGTTTATCTGCGAGCCTAAAGGCTAGTGGTGAGTGGAAAAATTGCACATTTAGAGGGTAGCACAAAGTTGAGGAAAGGTAACATGAGAGGATGTGAGTAATTATTGAAAATACATATTTATTTTTGGAAAATGCTAACGTTACATAACTTAATTTGAACTGTTAAGAGCTTTCAACTGAACTTTCACGTATCTCTTTCTCCAGTAAAGGCTCAATACAGATACTTGTTTATTTCTTTTGTTGAATAATTGTTTTGAATAAAGATTGTATTAATGTATGGAAGCTTGTGTCCAGTCTCTTTCTTTGTGTCAGTCTTGTTAAAGTTGGGCTTATGCTTCACAATACTCTTTCTGGTGAGCCTTCAGTTATATCGTGGTTGCTACCTGATTACTCTAAGGAAAATCGGTAAATTTGAGAGTAAGATAAAAGTTTTAAACATGAAAAAGTTACAATTAAGTGGTTGAGCATTAGTTTATTAGGCCTAATGATTCATTATCCTTGATGGTGTTTGACCTGTAATATGCTTGTTCTTAAAGACTAGATTTTCTAATCATAATCAATGTATATGGTAGTGACACATAGAAAAACACTTGAGTAAAATATTTTGGGTGAATTAGATTTTAATAGGAAGTTACATATTGAGAACTCCAGTAAATCAAACTGTGTAATAATTTTATAGGGAAGGCTTGCCATAGAGTTTGTACAGATTCCAGACGGTCCTTTCTTGTTTGAGGAGTGTAACTGTGAAGACGGTCCACCCTGGGGTGAAAGCTGAGACAAACAGCAGTTGATTTGTCTTGTGGTCTAGCCGTGTAAGTACAGAATAAAAATAATTAAATTTGAAAATACAGGAATATATATGCATTTATTTAACTGGTTCCTTAATGAAATGTTAAATACACACACACACTTAAGCTTTCTAATAATTTTAGTCTTGGTAAAAAAATAAATAAATTTCTTAATTGAAAATATAATACATTTACATTAGCAACCAGTTGTAATTGAGTTCGTTATATTTCTTCTTAAATTTGTGTTACTAGCAGTAGAAACCTTAATAAGCTAGCATTATTAAAGACAGTTATCCAGATAGAAAACAAAAGAGTTTATTAATGTTTATTTTATGTCCTTGTCCTTGTTATATGTAATGATTGCATTTAAAAAAAAAGTGCACTTAATGAGAAATATGAATACCAATTTATATGTAAGAAAATAGGGATGCATTCCACAACCTATACACTACTGCCCCCAATTCCATTTCTGTCACTTCTTCATGAAATGCAAACAGTAAGCACCTACTGGTAATCAAATATAATACAGTAACAAAATTATGATACAATAAATAAAGCATTTAATGTTCACAAACAAAAGAAAACTCATAGGCTCTGGTACATGAGGCAGTTTTCGTGATGGTCTACATGTTGTGAGAAGAGAATGGTGCAGGGTCTGATTCTACATCACTTGTAGGAGCTACAGGCAGGGTAACATATAGAAGTGAAGGGACAGGAGAAGCAGCTGGAACATGACTGGGTGATGGCTGAGCAAGGCTTTAGGAATTGCAGAGTGCTTTGCTGCCCATTGCCTTTGTGCATAACCCTCCTTGTAGGAAGGGAGCAAGAACAGTGTTTAAACTCCTGTTAAACTGCAAGCTCCCTTCCAGGCTTGGGTTCATGTCAATTACTTTCTGAGCAAGAGCCTCAACATGTAAAGAAAGTTAGCTAGCCTCTTCATTGTCGTGTCCTTGATGTTAGATCTCGGTGGTGAGCAGTGTCTGAGACACTGTTCCGCTGAGAGGCATGGTGTGACTGACTCGGAACATGTTCTCCCATGCTTAACCGCATAAGGCTGAATTATTCTAACATATAATTAATTTTTAATAGAAATAGGGTCCTTGCATATGCAGAAAATACACATAATGAGGACTTCAGGTATTGACTCTTAAGTTGTGGTACAAAAAGTAATGGGTTATAAGAAATGTCTTATGTAAAATAAAAGTGGAGACAACTAATACTCAAAGTAGTAGAAATGATCCTTTAATTACTTGTTTTCTTCTATATGCAATAAAATTAAGTACTTCTGGTAAAAAATTAAGTTTTTTACAATATAACCTGAGAATTATCAGTTGGATTCTTTAACCCAGTAATCATCAGTTGTGTTCATATGGATCCTGTATGCTTTTTAAACGTACTGTTTAGGCATGAAATTGTTTATGGGTTTGTTGGTTATAGGATCTCTAACACACAAGTCACAAATAAAAAATATGAGTACTGTTGTAATTACTACTGTGATTTCCTGTGTATTTTGCTTAGAAATATGTGACAGTGGTGGGATTCAGCCGGTTCGCACCGGTTC